TATTACTGACATAAATATACAATTTGCTTTTTTCTATGTTGACTATGTGGCAAACTTCCTAAGTTCTCTTATCAATTTAATAGTAATTTGTGGTCAAGTGTGGTGGCACACACCTGTCATTCCATGACTCAGGAGGCTGAGGCAGAAAAATCACCATGGGTTTGAGGCCAACCTGGGCAACATAGTAAGAATCTGTCTCAAAATACTAAAAACAATTCTTTAATTTAAAAATTTCTAGAGTAGATTCCTAATTTTTTTTTTCATTTAATCTTGTATACCTGAAAATTTGAATTTATTGACCAGTGCTCCCTAGTTTCCCATTCCTCCAAGGCCCTGACAATCAACCTTCCAATCTCTGCTTCCAAGAGTTTGACTGTTTCATATTCCTCATGCATGTGGGATCATGTAGCATTTGATCTGTGACTGTTTTATTTCATTTACTATGATATCCTTCAGTTTCCTTCATATAACTGTAGATGATAGGGTTTCTTTTTTAAGGCAAATGTTCGTTTTTGTGTGTACACTACACTCCCTTTATCATTCATCCGTAATTAGACCTTTAGATTATTCCTACATCTTGGTTATCATGAATAACAGACATGGGAATGCAGTTATCTTTTTTGAATTCCTGATTTCTGTTCCTTTGAGAATATATACAAAAGTGGGATTGCCAGGTTGTATAGAAGTTATATTCTAATTTTTTAAGAAGTTTCCATTCTCTTTTCCACAGTGGCTATCCCAATTTATATTCTCACCAAAAATGTACAAAAAAGGATTCCTTTTTCTCCATAAATCCTCCTCCACACTTGATATATTTGTCTTTTGGTAATAACGTGCTAATGGGTGAAGTGCTATCTCACTGTGGTTTTAATTTTCATTTTCCTGATGATTAGGAGTGTTGCACACTTTTTCATATACCTATTGATCATTTTTCTGTGTTCTTTAGAAAAAGAATATCTTTTTCTTATTTTTTTTAAATTGGGTTTGTTTTCTATTGAATTGTTTGACATCCATTTATACTTTGAGTCATAACCCCTTGTCAGATATATGTTTTATAAATATTTTCTTCCAGTCTGTAGGTTGTTGCTTCACTCTGATGAGAGTTTGCTGTGTGGAGAAACTGTTGATTTAGTATAACCCTATTTGTCCATTTTTTACTTTTGTTGCCTACACTTCCAGTGTAATAGCCAAAATAATCACTGGCCAGATCAAAATTATAGTTTTTTTCCTGCTTCCTCTTAGAAATTTTTAAATTTCTGGCCTTATGTTTAAATCTTTATGTTTTAAACATACAATCCATTTTGTATTGATTTTTGTCTTGATGTGAGTCTAATTACATTCTTGTGCATATGGATATCCATTCACCCCAACACTATTCATGGAAGAAATTATTCTTCCTTTATTGTGTTTTCTTCATATTTTTGTGAAAAAAAATGACAGAGAAATGTGGATTAAAAATAACATGTATTGTTTCTGAGAGGAGCCCTTTTATACTTTACCATTATAATTTTTTTTACAAGTTCAAATGCAAGATATGCCCAAGTTAAAGGCTATATCATATTGTAGGTTCCAAAATAAAGGGTACACAGTAACAAAATCACAGCTGTCTATGTGGGCATGAAGCATGAAAAGTGAGTATTATTTTAGACTTTAAAATTTGGGATCACTTGTCATCACAGCACAATTTGGCCTAAGCTGACTGACACATTCAACTTAACCCTCTCTCCAGTGACTTTTCTTTAACTCTTAGCTGCCTCCACTTCTCCTGTATACAGTATAGCTCTTAATACCAGTGACAATTTTTGTGAGATCATTTCTCTTTTTGGGACTCATATAATATAAGGATCCCAAATAATAGAGTTTATCTGAGTACCTACTCTTCTGAGAGCCAAAGCAACGCCTTCTCTACCTGAATCCAACAAAGCTCACCAATTAACCAAAGTCTTTGTTTATCGTTCAGGTTTCTAAATATAGCAAGTAAATTGTCCCTATGGACAATGAGGGGATCAGAAAAAAAGAGATGACAATGGCCTGAGAAATCAATGAGGAAGACACTTTGGTACCGACTATTCTTCAAAGAAACTGGTTACAAAGAAGGAAAGAGAAGAAGCTGGTTGGGGTATTAAGCAGCCTAAATCTCATAATTTCATATAGCTTCCCTCCAGTTGCATTAACTAATTAATAACAGAGGTAAGCCAAATTTTGATTTCACTTTCTTATGTCTGTACTCAGCGTGTCTATTTAAGCAGAGTAAGTATTTTTCTGCCTTTCCCAAGATGACCAAAGCTAGCCTTGGGAAAGCCAGTTTCTCCCAGCATAAGAAGGGTTACTAATTATGCCCATTTAAGTTTGGTTTGTTGTTTGTTTTGTTTTGGGTATGGGGGATCGAACTTGTGACCTCGCACTTGCCAGGCAGGCACTTATGCCACTGAGCTAAATCACCAGCTCTCCACTTAATTTTTAAATAAAAAAAAAAACCTTGAGCAATAATATGTGAAAAGCCAATAGAAAAGAAGGCTAAAAAATTAGAGAAAGAAATATTATCTCTGTGATAGGAAGAAAATGCTTGAGCTGAAAGCTAGAGAAGTAAAAGTAGTATAAAGAATAAATGGTTTCATAGCAGTAATAAAAATTTTGAATTTATTCCTGTGTATATGTGTGTATGCACACTTTCATATTCAGAACTAGAGAGTTGTCAGAAACTGGAAAAGCCCTTTATATAATCTCCGGATCCCTATTTCTTAATTAGCAAAGGAATTGTAAGCAGGAACTTTCTGATTCCCTGTCCTTAGCCAGACCTTGCCAGTAACAGCCATGTCAGTGGCTACCCTCTCCTAGGGCCAGTGACCCTTTTGACTTTGGCTAACCTGCTTTTCCTGTGAGCAATGAACAAGTCTGACTCTCTGACTTCTCCTCAAGGTCCATCTGACAGAAGAGCCATTGGATGAAAAAAGAAGCACAAGTTGCAAAACTGGCTTGCAATTCTCTTTGGAAGAGAGTAATGGGAAAAAAAGAAGAGAAAAAAACTAAGTCACCAGTGGATACCAAGACACTTGGACTTTTAACCACAACCTGTCTTCACTTGTTTGTGGACATATTACTGGCTGGGAACAAAATCTACATACTCTGTGAGCTAACTGGAGATTTATCAGCTACTGTAACCAAGTTTCCTACTAGCAACAGTATCCTGTGGCAAGCACCTTGGCTTGAAAGTCTAAAGACAGATCAGCACCAGCTCTGCTCAGGAAGGTTGGTGAGAACTACCCAGAGGCACATAGGTATATTTACTTGGGAGGGATATGTACAGATATTTAGTGTAAGTTCCTCATTTTACACAGGAGGAACCTGGATCCAGAAGAGTTAAATGTCTTCCTCAAAGACAGGTATTTCAACCTCCAGTCATTAGCTGGAAGAGCTAGGAAGCTGAAATACTGCTCTTCATCCATATGGAATCTTCTTGTTAGATCCTTCATATAAGAGATTCTGGGTACACACACACACACACACACACACACACACAGGGTTTTTTTTATTATAAAATGTGCTATTGGCTGCATAGGGAGGAGTGTTTCCTAGAGGATTGGAAATGAAAAGGGTGAAGAATAAAGACATATTTATTTCTTGGGCCATGGAATGTCCAATTTCACAAAGAGATTTAGTAATGGAACCCTTTGCTCAAGTGTAGTCCTATTGCCCAAAGCAAGTGTAAAGAAATAGATAAGAGGAGAGATAAGGTGAGCTGAGGTGTCTGAGATCCCAGACACATTTTCTGATTCCTTGCTACTTGGCGATTTAATGGTGATCCCTGAAGCACTGTGATACGTCATATCGGAAGGCACTAAACACACTTTGGAAACATTACTATGGTAGTGTTTTGAGATCATAGGTGTGGTGAATTTCAAAGGGGGATTTCTAAAACATGTAGTCATGTAGAATCAAATTACTGAAATGTCTAATTGTGATGGGGAAGAGACTACAAAGTAATTTCCTCCTTAGGAGTTCAGCTTCCTTTGCCTCAAGAATTTTTCCTCACTCAAATACTCTATAATTTTTTCTCTAGCACAAACAAAGATAGACTGTGAGTTTTCTGAAAATCTTCTACTCTCCTTTCTTAACTTACATGGTTTACAAACCATGTTTATATATGGTGAAAGGTATATATGGAAAAAATAACTTTACAACATTAGAGAAACTGTTTAAAGGAAAAATGTCGATCAGCCTAGAGAAATCATTGCTATTACATAAAATTTTGCGTCAGTCTTTCTTCATACATATACAAATTTTATTTTTGTATAGTAAATCAGTATTCATTTTTACAGATGAACAAGTTAAAGCTTAACATATTTTTCCCAGATGATGCCACTGGGAACATGCCTCCAACATTAGTGCTCTTTCTACTTCAGGAGTAGTTAACAAAGAACTATGAAGACCACTGAGTGAGTGTGATAGTCAAGGAATATTAAAGTCCAATTTAAGTGAACTCCCTACAAGAGCAGCTGCATGATTCAAAACCACTGAGAGTGATACAACAGAAAATATACAGTACAAGACTTCAGTGCTTGGATCAAGTCCCAACCTTGACATTGCTATGCTATGAGAACTTAAAAAAATTAAGAGGCTAAAGTCCATTTTGAAAATGTTCTCACCTGCTGTGAATATTATCTTCTTATAATTCAGAAAAGGAATCACTTGCCAAGATGCCTTACAGTCTTTAACCACAAAGGGTTTTCGGGGTACTCTAGAACCTACTGATTTATATAAGCTGCTCCATTTACTAAAGCTGATGAAGTAGGATCAAGGTATAGAAGTCATGGTGAGTCTAATGCTATTGAGAAGATAAAAAGAGAAAGTGAAGTGATTATATTTGAGAAGACATTTCTTTATCCTGAATTTCCTATTCTGGTCTTTGGATGAGGATTATATTACCTGTGACTGAAATCAATGTCCTACTAAGTGGACAAATATTCATCTCAACTGAGGGACAGAATCTCTACGTAATCATGAAAAATATCAGTCTTATTACTGAGTTTGTCCTTCTGGGACTTTCCAATGATCCTGAGATCCAGACCATGCTCTTTGTGCTGTTCCTTGTGCTGTATCTTCTGACTTTGATGGGGAATATCGTGATGATCTTGGTGATCACAGCTGATTCTCACCTCCACACGCCCATGTACTTCTTCCTTGGACATTTGTCTTTCCTAGATATCAGCCTCTCTTCAGTTACTGTGCCCAAGATGCTTCAAAATTTCTTCTCTCAAAATAAAACCATCTCTGTGTGGGGCTGTATCACCCAAAGTTTCTTTTTCACACTTTCTGGGGGAACAGAATCCTGCCTTCTGTCTGCCATGGCTTATGATCGCTATGCTGCCATCTGTCACCCTTTGGTCTACACCATGATCATGAACAGAACTCTTTGTATTGTTATTGTGAGCACAGCTTGGACAGTAGGATTTCTGATTTCCTTGGTAAACTGTCTCTTCATCCACAAGTTACACTTCTGCAGTTCCAACATCATCTCTCACTTCAGCTGTGAGCTGCCTCCACTCTTTCCTCTGTCCTGCACTGATCCTGTTATCAATGAGATTCTTTTAGCTGTTTCATGTGCATTTTTGGGAGTACTGACACTTCCCCTAATCCTCTTTTCCTACTCTAGGATTATTTTTGCTGTACTGAACATCCACTCCTTTGAGGGCCAAGGCAAAGCCTTTTCCACATGTTCTTCTCACCTCACTGTTGTTCTCTTGTTCTATGGGACAATCTTTTTCAGGTACTTGAGCCCTGCATCAGGCTCAGTGTTGGAGCAAGTGGTTTCCATCCAATACAGTGTGATCACATCCTTGTTAAATCCACTCATTTATAGTCTGAAGAACCAGGAAGTAAAGACAGCATTGCAAAGGATGCTTCGACAACAGAAATGTAACTCAGGGTAAGAAAAAGCTATGTGATTTTCTGAAGGAGAAAGGTTTTTGATTTTAGAAATACTGGATTTCACTTAAATTCTACTATTTGGCCTTCCAAGTAAACAAGTTTCCACAAACATTAAGGCTTGATAAAGGTTTGATGTAGAAGTACCCTCAAATCTCTTTGCAAAATCTGAGTCATCTTGGCTGTAGCTAGGATTTCAGACATGATAGACAGACAATCTTTGGAACAAAACAGATCCTTAGATCAAATAGTTTATTTTTTTAATGGAACTTTTCACAAAGGTGTACAATAAAGGGATCTACAAAACAAGAGGGAACAAGATATAATTAGTACTCCAAGATGGTGGCATTCAGAGCCATCTATTCACCTGATTGCTTGCCTCACTGGTGTGGAATGGCCAGTATTTAAGGATGAAGAAGTAGAAAAAAATGAGTAAGTTATCAACAGGAAATCATCACGTTTATTGTATTTTTCCTAATCTCCCCTACCTGAGATTTTCTCCCTAAAATGAATGGAAAAATCAAGTACAGCAAACAAGTACTAATTTTTTTTAATTTAAAAAATTGCATGTGATCTCGGTATACCATATACCAGTACAAGGCGTAGAGAAAGTAGACACTGATAATTATGGAAGTTAAATTGAAAGACTAATGATGTATATACTATTGTATCCACTAATTAGTACATATCAACATATAATAATAACCTACTGATAAACATTGAATAATGCCTAACAAAATGAAGAGCAATACCATGTGGATAGATTTAATTGATTATTGTAAAATGTTAATTATTCTTTTCTTAAATTGATTTATATATTGAATGTAATTTATATCACAATTCTAAAATACTTTTTCTGAATTTGAAAAACCATTTTGAAAATGTATATACAAGAAAATGAGCTAAAAAGATTCCAAGGTACTCTTGAAGAATAAGGTAGGAGGTCTTGCCTATATCAGGTATTATCAACTGTATAAAAATATGTACAGAATTCAAGCTGGGAGTTTATAGCACATGTCTGAAATCCTAGCACATGGGAGGATGAAGGAAGAGGATTACTGTAAATTGGAAGCCTCCCTATGCTACATACTGAGCTCAAGGCCAGTTTGGAACACATAGTGAGATCCTGCATCAAAATTTCAACACCAACAAAATCAACAAAAATACTCCAGTGGAAAAAGAAGAGAATTGAAAAATAGACCTCAAACAGCTTAAATGAAGACCTGAATAGGACCAAAGCTGCAAAGCAAAATCAGTGAGTGATGATGCCCTTTTCAATGAATAGTACTGGGAAAATTGGCTATTCATGTAAAAAAAAAAATTTGTAATTTCACCCTTAACCAACAGAGGCAAAAATTAATTCCAGGTGGACTGAAATATTACAGTGTGGAAAGTAAAAACTTCAGTACTTTATAAAATAATATAAACAATGCATTCATGGTAAGAAACAACATTTTGCAATATAGATTTTAATTACATTATTTATTTAATTTTAATTGACTAGCAATTGTATATATTTATGGTTTGCAATGTTATGCTTTGTTTGAATATACATTGTAGAAAGATTCTAAAAGCTAATTAACATATCTACCATCCTACCAATTCTTTGTGGTAAAAACACAATATAACACGTTTAAATATGATTCATTATTATTAAGTGTGGTCACATGGAGTGTAACATATCACAAATTATGACTTTGGGCCCACTGACCTACACCTTCCCCTGTCTTCCAAGCCTCTCATAACCATCTTTCTACTCTCTATATCAATAAGACTTATTTTAAAAAAAACCACATATGTGAGAAATCATAAAGTACTTGTGTTGCTATGCCTGCTTATTTCACTTAGCACAATGACTTTTAATTTCATCCATATGGCGCAAATGAAGGAATATTCTGCTTCTTAAAGGCTGATTTACATTCTATTGTATTGATACATACAACACATCATAAAAATGCTTGTATTTGATGAGCACATTGTTTTTTCCCAAGTGCTAGTTTATTGTAAATAATACTTAAGGAACATGGGAGTACAGGCATTTTTTCAGCATCGCAATTTCATTTCCTTTGTGTGTATGGGTAGAAATGGGATTGCTAGGTCATTTGAAATTCTACTTTTAACTTTTTGAAGACGTTCCCTGTTTTACAGAGTGGCTGCCCTAATGTTTGAGGTGGTTAGATCAAAAAGTAAGGTGAACACTTATTTTTAAAAATGTGTTAGCGTAAAAGACACGTTGCCAATTAATCTTCTTCAAGGTACTCCCCTCTGTTTCAAACATACTCATTCCATCATTCTTGACACTTCCTGAGGTAGTTCTGGAAGATTTCTTTTGTGAGTGTCCTTAGTTGTATTGTTGTGGCTGCCCTGATGTCCTGAATTGACTCAAGTTGTTTATCTCTCTAGATCATTTTTTACTATTGGGAAGATCTAGAAGTTGCAGAGTACCAGATTAGGTGAATCAGATATGGATACACTGTAAGGTTTTTATAAATCTGCCTTTTTGTAGGATGACAGGAGCATTCACTGTATTTTTTTTATCATACCTCCCAAAGACACACATGAAAGAGGACTTCTAGGACTGCTTCAGAAAGTGGCAAGATCAATGAGATAATTGAATCTGAAGTGAGGGGGACTGCTTTGAGGAGGAAAATGGCAGCATACTGGGACACAGTTAAGATTTAACACAAACTGTAGTTTTTGACCAGCTCTTGTACAGTACTACCAACAGTACAATGGTACCCTTTTCTCATTACCCATCAACATTTGTTGTTCTTTGCCTTTGTGTTAACATAACGTAGGCATGAAGTGATATATTATTGTGGTTTTAATTTGCATTTTCTTGAAGGTTAAAAATGTTGAACATTTTGCCGGGTGTGTTGGTGCATGCCTGAATCCCAGCACTCAGTAGGCTGAGGCAGGAGGATTACTGCAAGTTTGAGATCAGCCTGGACTACATGAGCTCAGAGCCAGCCTGAACTTCATAGTGAGACCCTATCTCAAAAGATCTCTTTCCCCAAAATTGAACATTTTCTCATATGTCATGGTGTATATTGGTGGCCCCCAGATCTCATGCATTTGCATTGTGATTGGTTCATTGTCTAGTGCTTGGATTGGGGGTTTGAGTGCTACACTGGCCTAGGGGTGGAGCCAGGATGTAATGTAATGGCAGGAAGAAAGCGTGTCTTGCTCTTTGCTGGTTCCTGCTTGCTGTTTGAACTGGGGCCCAGCCATGCCCACCTGTCTTGGAGCCAACTGAGTGTGGACTGAAACCTCCAAAAACTGTAAGAAATAAATCTTTCCTTTCCCAACTTGGGCTTCAGATATTTTGTCTCAGCAATGACTAAAAAGTAACTAAGACATCATATATTTGTTGTCCATTTATATCTTCTTGTAAAAAACATCAGTTCCAATTATTTGTCCACTTAAAAAAACCAAGTTGTGTTTGTTTTCTTGATACTCAGTTGCCTGAGTTCCTATATTTTACATATTAGTCCCTTATTAATCCTTTATGGTTCGCAAATATTTTCTCCCAATCTGTGAGTTTTTGCTATTCTGTTGCTTGTTTTCCTGTGATGCAGTCTTATTTGTCCTTTTTGGCTTTTGTTGCCTGTGCTTTTGAATTCCTAATTAAGAAATCATGGCCTAAGTTAATGTCCTAGAGGCTTTCCCTTGTATTTCTTTTAACAGCTATACATTTTTAGTCTCATGTTTAAGCTATGTATCCATTTTAAATTCAGTTTTTGTATATGTTGTGAGATATGGGTCCAATTTCATTCTGTATGTGGATATCCAGTTTTCTTAGAATCATCTACTGAAAGACATCTTCCTTCAGTTCTTACATGTTCTTAGGATGTTTGTAAAAATCAATTAACCTGGGCTGAGTATGTGACTTAGTGGAGAGAACTTTGCATGCAGAAGGGTTTCAATCTCAACATCACAGTCACAACAAAAATCTATTTACCACAAATACCTGGGTTTATTTCTGAATTTTTATCCTGTTCCAATGGTCAATGAGTTTGTACTCTTTCTTTCTTTCTTTCTTTCTTTCTTTCTTTCTTTCTTTCTTTCTTTCTTTCTTTCTACAACTACCTTGTTGTTTCAATTATACTACCTTTATAATATGTTTTGAAACCAAGACACATAATGCTTTCATTCTTTTGAATGGTTTTATAGCATTTTGTTATGTTTGATATTGTGGTGAAGATATATTCAACTATTTCGAAGAAAAGAGACATTATGGTAGCTACTGTTGATGTCCTGTTATCTGGTTGTGAAGTGCTGTGTTGCTTGCATTGTTCTGTTCTGATTTGCTTTGTTCTGTTCTCTTTTGTTTTATTCTCTTTAAAATAAAAAAATAAAATAAAGACATGATGCTTCTGGTTTTGCTCAGGATTTTATTGAATGCTTGGAGTTTTTTTCTGGCTCCATGTATACTTTAGAATTATTTTTTCTACCTCTGTGAAAAACTTACATTGGAATTTTGATACAGATTGCACTGAATTGATAGATTGCTTTGGATAGTGTTTATGTTTGAACAATTCTTCCAATCCAAGCACATATGAAATACATTTCCATTTATATGTTATCTCCTTCAATTTATTTTGTCAATGTTTTACAGTTTTCAGTTATCAAATCTTTTGCTTCCTCAGTTACATTTGCTTCTATTTTATTTTTACGCTATTGTAAATGATGTTATCTTTTTAGTTTCTTTTTTTTTTGACAGTTGTCAGTACATAGAATGCTCACTTTGCAATCTGAAAATTTATTGAACTTGTTCATCAATGCTAAAAACTCTGGTGGAGGGTTTTCTCTATATAAGATCATGTCATCAGCAAACAGATAATTTCATATCTTCTTTTCCTATATGAGTTGTATTTATTTTTCTTTGCTACTCTGTCATGATATCTAGTAGATATGGTGACAGTGAACATAATTGTCTTGGAGAGAAAACTCTTAACATTTTATGATGTTAAGTTAAATTAAAATCCTACCATGTTAACTGTGG